GGATGGGCTGTTCCTTCCGCTCTGATGCTTCTCCTGTGTCCACTTGGTGAAACCTGTCTCCGGGTTGTCCTTCTCCGGTAAGCCACCTGGGCCTCCACCTTCCGGAGAGTTTATTGCTCCTTCCTGATCCCTGTAAAGTTTTTATTAGTATATTTATCATACTGTACTGTAATTATCTGCTTAAATGTGTGTGTCCCTTATTAACTTGGTAGTTGCCATGTAGTATTTATCCCCAGTGCTCAGCAGCTAGCTGTTTGCATGTCATATTCTTGGGGCTCAGAAATGCGAGATTAGCTGGAGCGCCAGGCAGATTTTATGCACATAGATAAAGAAGAGGAGGCCCTAAGTACTGAAAAGTAAGCTCTAAGATGAGTGTAAGAAGGCTCAGATTTTTATATTAAATTAAATTTCTTTTTTCTTTTTAATTTTATTTTTTTCCTTTATTGGTTTTTGGAGAGAGAGGAAGGGAGAGGGAGAGAGAGCGCGAAACATCAATGAGAGAGAACATCAGTTGGCCGCCTCCTGCATGCCCCCCTCTGGGGATGGGGCCCACAACCTGGGCATGTGCCCCAACTAGGATCGAATTTGTGCCCTCTTGGTGCGTGGGTCCGCGCTCAACCATTGAGCCACACTGGCTGGGCGAGTTCTGATTTTTTTATACCATGATAATTATTTTAATTATTTGCGTGTGTTTCCTTGACCTAAATTTGGGGTCATTGTGTCTGTTGGATAATCCAGCGCTGATAAAGGATAAATTAAATAGGGAATGTGGGGGTTAGTGTTTTTGTTTTAGTTTGCTGTGTTTTTTGTCTTCCTGTGAGTGTTGTCGTGTGTTGGACTCTTCATTTTCTTCATATCCTACCTGCCTGCCCTAGGCTCCCGTCCGCTCCCTGGCTGAGCCCAGGTGTGACCGGTGCTTGGCTTTTTTCTTGGTGACTAGTGGGCACTGTGTCATGTGAGCCTGGGACCGAGCGAGGCTGACAACCGTAAGGGAATCGACACGTGCGAAGGGTTTCAGCACCGCTGTTTCCTAAAGTGTGGGCCATGCTTCCAAAGCCAAAGGCATCGCCGGGTCTGGTCTTCTGGTTTGGACACTCTGACGGGTGAGGGGCAAGAAAAGACCCGCCATTGTTTAGGGGGCCTCCGGGTGATGTTCCTACGCACTGAGGTTTGAGAAGCATCGCTTAGAACTCAGTTACTAATGGATGCAGTTTTAAACAGAAGGCGTCAGACTCCTATGAGATTTCCTTAGTGCCTTATTTAGGAAATATTTGGTACATGCAGTATTTTCCTTTTCTTTGGAGAACCTGACATCCTCACCAGGAAAAGCCCATTCATTTGCTCGCTGCTTTTCCCATCGTGCAGAATTCCGTTCCCACCCCCAACCACCGCGTAGCATGTGACAGCCACCAGCCCAGACTTCGTAGGAGTCAAGGAAAGAGTCTTTGGATCCTGTTATTTCCCTCTAGGAACTGCTGAACGTTGACTGGTACACAAAAATTCAGAGTATGCACTGTCATTTTCATGTTAACTCTTACCCCAAATGCTTGTGGTTTCAAAGGATTTGCTGTAGCCCAGTCTCAGTCTTAGCAGGGTCCGGGCCGAGGACATTCTTTTGCAGCACGCTCTGCCGTGCAGGTATGCTTAGGGCAAAACGTTCTGTTTATACTTGGCTGGATCCCAAACAGTTGCACTCATATTGAAACTGGGGGGTGGCTGTGGGGGGTGGTTTGCACATCATTTTTTGTGCATTTGGAAACTTCCCTGTTGTGAATGACAAGAACCACTGAAGTGATCGGTTTGTCCGGCCTGGGACAGCTGTCTTAGGAAGTGGGCCGAGGTCACCAAGCTAACAGGTTCAGGAGCGTTTATAGGATGCAGCATAATTACCTGATACAGTGTTGGCCGGAGCCTGTGATTCCGACAGCCCTGGACATTTCATTAATTGTGGAGTTCCTTTGAAAGGGTTCCCCAGTATAATGTGTGGATACGGCTGAAGAATAGCAAATTTGGTTATGTACATACTATGGGACAGACATTTTTATTTTAATTGCCTTTTTAAAAATTCGCTTTAGGGACTGTTATTTGTAGATTTCTTCAGTGTGCACATGTAGGAAAAAATATCTTTTTTACTCCTTTGCAGTTCAATTGTGAGACATTGAATGGCAGCGGACTTAAAACGGATGCGTTGTACATCATGTTTTCTTCCTGCGTTTACAAAACCAGTATCTGTTCATTGTTTGAATAGTTGTGATTAAGAAACCGGCAATTTAGGAATGAAAATTCCCTGTAATTCTCAGAGATATGCATACTTAACATTTTGGTATTTGCTCCAGATTCTTTCCCGTGATTATTTTGTTAAATATATTTGACTTGTAATTTACCCACACGTGTATTTGAAGACAGAAATACATCGCTGGCGTACCTGAAGCTTTTCATGTAACCGTTGTGGTTTTCAGTGTATTTTGCTTGGTCGTCTCTATTGAGACCCAGAGAGTCTACAAGGAAGAAGAAACTGGCTTCCCCTCTGTGCCTGGGAGCGTGCTCAGCATTTCACTTGGATTCTCTCTCGTGATGATTTTGCCAACGCTACTGTGTAGGCAGCAGTTATTATACTCTTTCTGCACATAAGAAGACAGGCAAGTTAAGTGACTTGCTCAGAATTAATCAGTAAAGAACTTGGGCTGCCTCCCCATTTAATTAGCTTTCTTGTCTAGAGAATATTGTGTAGCCCCTATGTCTTTCCTGTATTGATGTTTGTGGTCCGTACACACATAGTCATCTTAAATTTCTGGGCAAATTAGGAAACACCAGAGGACTCATAAGTCTCTACTGTGTCTCCATAGAGTTCTCCAATCCTTATGGATTACCAAGGTTTTAATTCACGTTTCAGTTCCCACTGATATTTCTTCTGCTTGTGACAAGGACACTTAAGTTAGTACAGGTATATTTGGTTCATAAATTTATAAGTTCTTTGAATTCCTCGTTCCAGGCAAGTCCGAACAGGACCAGGAAAGCTGATTATAAAAGGCCAGTGAGCTTAATTTTAAATTAAACGGATATTTAATGCACTGAGAACATACTGGCGTGCCTCGCTCTCTCTTTCTAATCCATGCTTGCTATTGGAATCCGACGGGCTGGAAATCTTTATTTTTCTATGATAAGAGTTGCTTATTGCTACGTTTCTCAATGTAGATTTCTGCAGGTGATCTTAACACCTAAAGTTACAGAATTGTTCAATGAGGGCAGGCAGGAGGGAGGAGTACCCTGGGTGCATGGGGTGGACCAGAGAGTGGACCAGGGTGGGCATGAAGATGGTCAGTCAGTGGGGGGCCACCTGGCTGTCAGCATCCTCTGTCTTTGTCCAACAGCAGCCTGAGTCCTGCCCCTAGTTGGAGCTGAGTGTGTTTAGGAGTCTGGTTGTAGAGTTTTCCCCGTTAAGTGTGTTAAATGCTTTTTAGGTGAATCTTAATCTCAGACATAGACATCCTGACCAAACTGGCAGATCTGTGAAGATTTCACTATTGGGAGGATTTTATTCTTTAAATTCTGTGTTGTCACTAAGTCATTGCTCTTTATTCTAAGCATTTGGTCATCGATAGCCTCTTATTTATTCCGTTTGAATTTCAATTAATTGTTAGTGAGATTTTATGATCTGTTAGAACACAGAGTGTGGGCATTTTATCTATTCTTTTTGTATGCATGAATGACATTTCTGTACTGTTGTTTATATCCCTGGCTAGTATGTGCTTTGAATTCAGTTACCTATTATGAATGGGTAAAAATTCTTTCCAGCGGTTCTCAACTTGTGGGTCGTGACCCCTTTGGGGGGTCGAACGACCCTTTCGCAGGGGTCGCCTGAGACATAACAGTAGCAAAATTACAGTTATGAAATAGCAACGAAAATAATTTTATGGCTGGGGGTCACCACAACACGAGGAATTGTATTAAAGGGTTGCGGCCTCAGGAAGGTTGAGAACCACTGGGCTAGACCAAATTATAATGAAATTACTTAAGTCTGCTCCTCTCTTATGAAGTGGGATCAGCTTATTCTCAAATTTAGGGTGTTTGGCAAAGGACCTGGCCTCCTGGAGTCCACAGTTCTGGACCATAATATTTTAGCTTAGATGATTCACCAAGTTAAACTTTTAAGAACATGCTATTATTTTTTTCGCTGTTCTTGTTTTTGTTAATCGAGGATATTTTTCCCATTGCTTTTTAGAGAGAGTGGGGGTGGGGGGGAGAGACATTGATGTGAGAGAGACACATCATCAATTGCCTCCCACATGCGCCCTGACCAGGGCCAGGGATCGAACCTGCAACCCTTTGGTATGCGGACCAATGCTCTAATCATGGAGCCATACCGGCCAGGGCAGGAACATGCTATTCTTAATGTTCAGGAATGTATTATGCAATCTTGGAAGTCTTTAAAGTTCTTCGTAAGATTTTTGTGAGAATTCAGTTAGCGTAAGTAAGGTAGGGGATTCAGCTATTAATTTTAAGGAGGGCGACAACTTTTAGTTGTTGGAAGGCCTCTATAACCTTCCTTTCTTGAAAGAAGGACAGAGAGAAGAGAGTTCTAGGGGGTCCCCTCTTCCCCCAGGCTCCCTGGGGGGACTGGGAGGAGCCTCTGGCTTTGCAACATTATGTGAATTTGGAGGATCATGCAAAAGCGTAATTGAACATACGCTGTTTTTGCTGTAGTGGTCCCTGCTTTTAATATCCTGTTGGTTGTTGAAACTTCTTTTATGACAGTGAAGTCTTTTGTCTTTGTTTTTCAGTGGGGAAATCTCTCTCCCCACTTGAAAAGGTTGATTGAACCTGGGCTACAAGGAGTTTTGCAACCTTTGACCTTGTTGCCTTCCCAAACCCCTAATCTCAGACTTCAGATTGAGCTCCGATAGCCATGCTTGGCATTTGGGACTTTAGCTGGTTTTTATATTTTTGACGATAACTTTTCATTTGATTCTCATTTATTTCTTCTCCCTTTTCTTTTTCAGTGTCCTGGGTCATGAAACTTAATCCACAACAAGCTCCATTATATGTGAGTAAATCATGACGTTTCTTTTCATTTTGTACTCATCGCTCCTGTTTACTTGTTACAATAAACCCCCAAACACTTCTATGTTCTTACAAGAGGAATTTTTAACCACCTACACGTGAATGGCTTAACATGCTTTGGAAATTGAATTTGATGTAGTAAATTCTGAATGACTAATATACATGCACAGTTCTGAGCCGAGTACAGATAGCACCTGTAAGACTGAGCTAAAATAGTCAGGGTGATAAGATGCATGTGTTAAACAATTGCATTGCTCTGCAAAATGATTTGGTGGCTTCTTTCTTTTAAGTGCATTTATTTCTGGTAAAGATAGTGTGATCTTCCTGCAGCCATTGTGAGTTACCCTGTGTTACAGCTAGGTGGCGCTCTGTCACTGGCGAGAGTGCTCTTTGCTCTAGGCATCTGAATGAAAGGCTGATGTACCATCTCCCCAAAGTGGGGGAACTATAAAATGAAGTGGATACATGAGTGAATCAGGGCTGGAAAAAGTAAATTCTAGGTGACTCTTTTTTTTGTTTAATTGTCATGAGACTGAATGATCTGAATTGGGGTGGTGGAAAGTGCTGTTTGGCGAGGCACCAACTAAGAGGTATGGATAGTTAGGGCTACGAGAGGACAGGGGTTTTGGGTTGCCATGGTCGGGAGAGTTGTAATAAATGGAATAACTCAGTATGTGGCCTTTTGTGACTGGGTTTTTCACTCAGCATAATGCTTACAGTTTATGTTAGAGAATCTATTCATATTTCTTCCTTTTTTATTGGTGAATAATATTCCACTGTATGGATATACCACATTGTATCTATTCATCAACTGGTGGATGGACATTTGGGTTGTTGCAGTTTTTGGCTAGTATGAATAATGATACTTGAGCAGCAATTTTTGTGTGGAGGCATGTGTTTTCATATCTCTTGGGTAGATACATAAGCACATAATTGCTTGGTTACATGATAACTTTAACATTTTGAGGACTTGCCAGTTTTCTACGGCAACTGCACCGTTTTACATTTCCACTAGTAATGTTGAAGGTTTTAATTTCTCTAAATTCATGCCAACACTTGCTGTTACCTGACTTTTTTATTGTAGCCATCCTGGTGGGTATGAAATGGTATTTCATTGTGGTCTTGACTTGCATTTCCCCAATGGCTCATGATTTTGACCATCTTTTTTTAAAATATATTTTTATTGATTTTTTTCTTTTTTTTTTTTTAGAGAGGAGGAGGAAGGTAGAGAGAGAGAAACATTGATGTGAGAGGGCAAAATCGATCGGCTACCTCCTGCACGCCTCCCACAGGGGATTGAGCCTGAAACCCACGCATGTGCTCTGACAGGGAATTGACCTGGGACCTCTCAGCCCATGGGACAGTGCTCAGTCCACTGAGCCACACCAGCTGGGCAATTTCGAGCATCTTTACATGTGCTTATGGGCCATTTATGTATCTCTGGAGAAATGTCTACTCAGCCCATTAAAAAATTAATTTTTCTTTATTGATTTTAGAGAGTGAGGAAGGGAGAGGGAGAGAGAGATAGAAGCATCGATGAGAGAGAACATCGATTGGCCGCCACCTGCATGCCCATCAGGTTGGGCCTACAACCTGGGCATGTGCCCTGACTGGGAATCGAACCGGTGATCTCTTGGTGCTTGGGTCGGTCGATGCTCAACCACTGAGCCACACCGGCTGGGCTTCTCAGTTCATTTTTAGGTGGGGTTATATGTCTTTCCTTCTAGTCTGTGGGTTACCATTTCACGTTCTTGATCATGTCCTTTGAAGCACAGACGTTTTTAATTTTGATGATGTGCAGCTTACCTATTATTTCTTTTATTATTATTTCTTACCCTCACCAGATTGATTCTGTATATTAAACCAACCTTGGATTTCTAGGATAAATCTCATTTGATCATGGTGTACAACTCTTTTTTTATGTTGCTGGATCTGATTTGTTAGTGTTGAGGATTTTTGTGTCTATACAGAAGACTTTTTTTCTTTTAATCCTCACCCGAGGATAATTTTTCATCTATCTTCAGACAGAGTGACAGGGATGGAGGGAGAAAGAGGGAGAGAGAGAGAGAAACATTGACATGAGAGGGGCATATCGACTGGCTGCCTCCTGCATGACCCCGACCAGGGCTGGGGACAAACTGCAACCTAGGTTCGTGTCCTTGACCGGAATCGAACCTGAAACTCTGGTCTGCAGGCCAATGCTTTAACCACTGAGCAAAACTGGCCAGGGCTATATAGAAAACTTTTGAAAACTATTTTATAGTTTGTCTTTTCTTCTCATGTCTTTGTCTTGTTTTGGCCATTTGAGAGTTTTTGGTTGGTGGACTGATGTAACTAAGTAGTGGCAGTAGGCAGAATGATGGTTCCTCAATGTGTCCAGAGCTCAATCCCCAGAGTCTGAATATTTATCTTACGTGGCAGAAGGGACTTGGAAGATTTGATTAAGGATCTTGTGATGGGAGGCTATCCTGAATTATCTGGGTAGCTCAGTAATCACAAGAGTCCTTATAAGTGAGAGAGGGAGTCAGGACAGTCATGAGTCAGAGGGTGGTTTATACATGCTACCCTGCAGGCTGTGAAGGAGGAGGAAGAAGGGGCCACGAGCCAAGGTTACAGCCTCTGGAAGCTGGAGAAAGGGAACACTTCCCCCCTCGAGCCCCCGGAAGGCACACAGCCCCCGGAAGGCACACAGCCCTGCACACCTCAGCAGTGAAAGGGACTGCAGATTTCTGACCTCCAGAATTGTAAGATAAATGCGTTGCCTAAAGTCTCTGTTCGTGGTGATTTTTGTAAGAGCAGCAGGAAACACACACTAATAATACAGGAAAATGAATTGATGGTGATGTGAAGATAGTGCAGGAGAGATTAGAGGCAGGGAGAACAGTGAGAGACTTTCTGATCTTGCTATCATAGACTTAAAAGACTCCAGCTAGATACCATCGCCTTCCACCTCTCCGTTCTAGAGATGAGCATCGAGTTCTGAGCATCATCTGAAGATGATGCAGTACGTGGGCACTGCAAACTGCTGCTAAATTGTGATTTAAATCTGGATTATATATTCTCCTTCCTAGAAACCACTACAGAGCTCGTTTAGCTTTTTAAAAGCTTTTTGTGGAAAACAAGCCTCTAGAAATCACTTCTGAGGAGTATTCTTAATTAAAGCAAGTGCTTTAAGTATGATTCTGTGTTTTAATTGGGCAGGCTCTATAGAAGAGTATTTCAAACTTCCGATTTCAAGCGTTATCTATCAGCAATAACACTTAATGGGGCAATTTGTTTTCTGTCGTTTTACAAAGAGAGTGAGTGTACTTCGTTCTCCATGAACTAAGTCACAGGGACCTGGTGAAGAAAAGTGACTGTCAAGTGGCAGTCCATTGGAGAGGACGACAGTTCTCAGCTCTTAGAGAAAGAAGTAATACACGAAAGGACGAGAAGAGTATGTTGAAGGTTTTCCTTGCAGTTTATATTTAGGATCTGCTAGAGGTGAGTATCGTCAGCAGAGAGAGGAAATATAGTAAATAAGGAAAAACACTGGATCCTGAGAGATACAAAAACACACAAATCTCACAGCACTTAATGAAGAGACTTGTACAATTAAAGTCCTTTTAAAAAATAAGTTAACCCAGGCTTAATTTTCCATTTCATGTTTTTAATTTTTTTTTTTAATGTTTTACTTGAAATAAGTTCAGATTTACAGAAAAGTTGCAGGAATACAACTCACCTCTATTCATCCCATTAACATTTAATCACATTACCTTATATTTCTCTGTTATTACATATTTTTTGAATTGTTTGGTAGTTGCAGACATCATACCCTATTCCCATAACTATTTTAATATATATTTCTCAAGAACTGGGACATTCTCTTTCATAACTACCATATAATGAACAAAAACAGGAATTGTAGCGTTGATGTAATACTCTTAAGTAATGCAAGTCCATATCCAAATTTCTGTGATTTTCTTAATAATGTCCTTTATAGCATCTTCCTCTCATCCCCTCCCCCCCCAATCCAGGATTTAATCCAGAATTATACATTGTATTTATGTCTGTTTCGTCTCTTAATCAGGAATAGTTCCTCTGCTTCTCTATCTTTCATCATCTTGACATCTTGGAAAATTATAGGCCAGTTACTTTGTAGCAGCTTGGGTTTGAACGATGTTTTCTCCTGATTTTGGCAGGATTGCTACATAACTAATGCCCTTATTAGTGTATCACGTTAGGAGAACACATGCTATATTCTTGTCCAGTTATTGGAAATGCAGACTTTGGTCCCTTGTTATTATGGTGTTGAGTTGCATAATTTAATTTATCTGTCCCAGAGGAACTGGGCATTTAAAGAAGATGGTGTACTTGTTCACTTCCCCTGTTAATGTTGTTTCTGGTTGGAAGTACCTTTTGCATATTGGATGTTCTTAACCTGTTCCCTGTAAGGTGTGCCCTTGAGTGTAAGAGAAAGGGCCGATGTCAGCGGAGAGCACGTTGTGAGAAATTCATTGCCTGAGTATTTTTATTTTATTTTATTTTATTTATTTATTTTTTTTATCCTCACCCGGGGACATTTTTCCATTTTTTGTTCAGGTAGAGTGGGAGGGAGAGAGAGGAACAGAGAGAGAGAGAGAAACATCGATGTGAAAGGAACACATCGAGTGGCCGCCACCCGCACAACCGACCAGGGCCGGGGACAAACTGCAACCGAGGTACGTGCCCTTAGCGGGAACCGAACCCGGGTCTCTCCGGACCGCAGGCCGACGCTCTAACCGCTGAGCCAAACCGGCCAGGGCTGCCTGAGTATTTTTAAACAAATGTAATTCTCAGCGAAGCTGTTGCAGCCATATTTAGTATGGACCGTAGTAGCCACTCAGTGAACATTTGTTGAGTGAATGAGTGAAATGCAATTTATAAAATTTTACTCAACTCACCTTCTTTTCCATAGAACAGCTGCCTTTCTTAAAGTTGCTGATTTGTTTCCCAGGCTTATTA